CATTTAGAAATTAAGTCTTACTGGCTGCTTCATATGGCATTTATAGGGAATAACGTTAAATTTTCCAAGTCTTTGGATGAAACTGAAACTTTAAATACATACTCTGAGCACATATCATCTTCTAGTGTAGCCTGAAAGCTCGGAAGTGTAGCCTACGTGTAAAAAGCAAGGAAACTTGAATCTACATGTACATGTGTGCATTAAGACAGCCTTTCCAATCCAAGCAAAACAAAACAAAAAACCTGCAGGGTTACTACAACAACTCCTGAGAACTTTCCTGAGTACATCCTTAACAAACTATACACGAACAACACTTTTTCTAGACTTTGCGTCATACTAAACGCCTTAAGACAAAAATCTTGTAGTTACTTCTGTCAGCCTTTACTGTAACAAGCACTTTGTCTCTACTTGTACTTCATGCAGTTAGCAGGTGACCCCTGTAATATTCTGAAGTTCTTCCCCAAGCAGTCATGAGTACTGAAGTAAGTTATGCATTCTCTTCCTTCTATCCCTCTCCCCAGGACTCAGTAGGTTCTGTGGGCCTTATGTAATGAAATAGCCTGCAGTCTGTCTTTAAGAATCAGGAAAACTAAAATCATTAACTTACCGTTAATAGTGAACTTGCTATCAGTGTAGATAATTAGTTTCTTGATGTTTTGACTCTTTGCTTGCTCTATTGCTTTGCAGGCTGCCTTAAAAACATTTCAGGAGAATCACAGTTCAGAACAGGATTTTGAACACATGCAATTAAAATACCAGCAAGGCACCTGATGCTAACATAGAACTACAGAGAATATTACTGTAATCTCCACATCAGTGAGTATCAACATGCTTTAGAGCAGAAGCTCCCAAAATTATGCATACAGATGACCACTTAATGAGTCAGGCAAACAGGGAGCTGCTTGAGTTTCACTGGCAAAAAAACCTCACAACATTCTGATGTTCAACTCTGTACTGAAGGAGTAGCTCTCTGCCTAATTTTCTATCAAAGCCTCTATCAACTGCACACCAAGTTTCTGGCATTTTCTCCATAAATTTGAGGAGGAAGGATTCATACCAGTTCCAACATTCTGGAACCCCTGAAAGGTTGGGTTTTTTTGGTTCTATGAAATATAGTAAGAGGTAGAAGAAGCTGGGTCTGGATGTAGAGCTGAAAAGCTCTTTAGTGACAAGTTTGACCCCGGCACACCACCATCACCTCTGCTTATCCTTCACTAAAATGGACTTCCTGTGGTCTTTAAGCAGATCAATTTCCCATTTCAGTTCATCTCCAACCACATAGTGCAGGATAGCAGCAGTACCAGAATCAAGATGAGATGGGAAGACTTAAGCCTGCTCTTGCCAACTTAAGTTTACTGTAGAAGTAACAGAAGTTACTCCCAAGAGCCAAAATTGTTTGGTTTTATCTAAGGAATACGATACTCTGATCCCATCACAATAAGAAGCTGATTCTCCTCTTAACCGCTACTCAGCAGCCCTCACCCCAAGGTCAGAGATAAACACATTAAAAATGCAAAGGATACTATGCACATTTTGGAACCAGGCCTTCCTAATGCAAGGCTGTTTCAAATAGCTGTGGTTGACCTGATGATATCTGCAAATCCTCAAGGTGAATTACCTTGTTCAAAACCAATAAAGATCAATAGAATTTGAAGAGAATGATTTGTGTTAAGTTGTAACTCCTGATACTTTGTGTACTTCCCTCACAGGTCCATAACTGGTTTCTGAAGGCCAGAGTTGAAATAGTGGTAAGCGTACTACTGTGATCTAATGTGCAGAAGCATTTTAGGACATTTACTGCTTACATGTATTTCTGCTCTTTGATTGGTCTGCCGTCCAGGAAGTCTTTCACTGGTATTTCTGTACCCAAGGAATGAACAGTAGATTAGTTAACCCAAACATTCACTATGGTGTGTAATGACATTAGAAAAATAAAGACAGCTACTTGTCTTCCTATAAAGGAGGATAAATAGATATTCTAGCTCTAACTTCCAGCTGCATTGTGCTATTTGGCCCTGCCATCAATATGCAATTACAGCTGTTGCCTTCTGTGCACACCTACACCTATTTTAAAACTTTCTGCATCACTTGAATTATAGCTTCAGCCTATAAAAATATTATTTCCAGTTGATTTTCCCCACATTCTTACCTCCCACAGAAACTGAATTCTCTTTTCCTGTAACTCACTAGTCTCATGGCACTGTCATTATGAGTCTCAACAGCAGAATTTCATATTCAAGAGGAGTTTGCTATTGTAAATCACAACAACACAAACAGCAATATATATATGTATATACATATAAAAATCCATCCAGCTACTTACAAAGGGTGGCCTGGTCCCCAGTAGACACCTATTCCAGCACGTGCCCTATTACGTCCATTACCTGAGCAACAACCATCAGTATAAACGACTGCAAAGTCACCTACAAAAGAATTACCAAAAGCAAAAGTTCAAGCACTTCTTCAAGGATGTAGACTCTTTAAGCAAAAAGAAATGTCTGCCAGCAGATTAATCTCCAAAACTTCCCTACCCAAAGAGCCCTTCAAAAAGTTAACTGAACAAGCCACGTAAATTAGTAATGCAGGACAATGCAGTCCCACTGCAGCTTTGCACCCTCACTGGTGCCAAATTAGTCGGCCTCTAGAAGCACCTCTGCCTCAAGTTCCACATTCTCACTACAATTCCTGTCGTCTTCAGTCAACTTTAAAGCTTCCTAGCTACGTCTGTAATCCAGACACACAAATCACACCTGTAACAATCAGATTAAGCTATATGTAGATACCAGTTAAAGCCAATTAAAACTACACTTAAAAGACAATAGGAACAAATAGATCACAGCTCACATTTCCATTTTAAAAAGAAACAATGTTACGCTAGGCCTGATGCTGCTCTAAAAGCTTTCCAATAATTACACTTGCTCCTTATGAAAGGAGTGCAAAGGACTGAAAAGAATTACAGGAGTAATGAAAGACCTCACCCATATACGAAAATTTATCTTCACTGACCGTTGGCGTTGAGTATACCTCATCATGTTTTACACGCTTTGCAATGTGTTCTTCATTTGTAGACTGTTCATAGGGCCTTTTGCATGTATTGCAACACAAGGCGTTTATTTCTGGTTCCTCTCTCTGGCTACCATTTTCCTGTGTTACAACTGGGGGACCATCTGCACCTTCCAAAAAAAAAAAAAAACAAAAAAACCAACAGAAAAACACAAACAAAAAAAAAAGATAAAGAGTTCAGCTATATAGAAGATCAAATTTTGTTTGAAACTACTACTTCTAAAGACAACACTTGTTATCACCTATTAGCAAGGCTAGTCTGGTAACTGACACCACCCCAAACTCTTATGCAAAAAATACTATAGCATAGCATACACCCGTCATTCTTGACCCCGGATCAAACTGACGCTGAGGCACACAGGTAACAGCCCTTAAAACGGACAGGGGGCAGGCGATGTTCTCCAAGTACCCACGGAAACGCTTTCCCCGCACTGACCCACCCACCGCTGCGCTTGCAAACAGGAGTCAAACCGGAGCCGCTGCCCTC